GCCTTAAAAATTGTGCACACTGAAATATTAGTTAGACAAATGTCACATTACTAATATAACTAATAGCTAAAAGCATTCCTTATGAGTCCAAAAAAGGCCCTTTGGTGTCAACCCACAACAGGAAGTTAAAACCCAAGTGCGGCTGATGCCTGCTCCACCTTCCTTACAACAACTTACAGACCTACTTAATAGACTGATGTTGATGGATAAACTAGATGCCCAATACAATTGCACTTACACAGAGAAATTCTTCAATACCTGGACCCCATATATGGTGTCAACCATGCAACCGACACAGTTAAAAGAGTTGGTATCCTTGTTTAAGGATACGGTATGGTACCACACAACCGAATTAAATAGATCGCTGGGTGCCCTTGATGTCCTTTAATGACTCCTTACATTGTCACTTCCTGTCTGAAACTGTAGTTACAAGTCTTTCTGTTGACTTACCACTATACAGGACTTTGTTGGTATTCCCCCTGTCCCAGATGGACCCTTCTCCGGAAATGTGAGGATGACTCTGCTAAATATCAAAGGTGATTGCGAGCCTTGTTTGTTGGCCTTGATTTACGCCTGTTATATCTTATACCTCTGCATTGTTACTGAATTCACTACATTTCTATATAGTTAGCATTATTCCAATGTACTACTGTATCGCATGTCATCTCCAGTTTTATGTCACAGAATTGCAAGTGTACACGGTAGGATGCAGAATGTACTATGATATGTCTTATGTTTTGTATTTATATGACAAACTTAAATTAAAAAATTACATGCTTAAAAAAAAAAACCCCAAGTGCATGTCTGCTACAATCGTTCGTTATATTTCTGTACTTGCAGGGTTTTTAAAGGTGCACAATCTGAGCAAATATGCATGTACTGCAAAGCTGTTCTATTTTTTGTTTCTCTCTGTGTGTCTCTCCTCAGCCCATGGCATAGTCTGTCACCTCATTCTCATTCCACACATTCCTCAACAGAGCCGGCAGGTGCTCTCTAAGGGCTCAGTGGCTTCTCCCCAGGTAGGTGGACATTGAGGCAGGTGAGGCCGGAGGTGTGGGTGTATCCTTCCCTCCTTACATAGTTTTACTATGGCTGATCCACCTCACAGCTGCTGAAGATGAGCTGACAGTGAGAAACAGAAGGGATGGCAGCCCATTGAATATTCCTCATCCACCCATCCAGTAACAAGTTGACAGGAGTCATCTGTATGACTCTGGGTCTCCTGAATACTGCACTGCACACAAACAGCAGGGGAATTTGTGTGGCATCATAACCTGGGCTGAATACTGCTAACTGCATTGCTATATAATGTTCACTGTCCTACAACTACACCCTACTCACCGCACTGCCATTATAAATTGCAAACTGCCCTTCACTGCCACTATATACTGCTAACTGCCCTGCACTGCTGCCACACATTGCTAACTGCTTTGCACAACCGCCACACACTGATCACTTAACTGATAAAAAGTGGATGATATCTTCTTGTCCTCCATGTCATCTCATTTCTCTTCCTACTCTTAATGTTGGTGGTCTTTGATATTTTTTGTCTCTTTCCCTTTTACTGTTGCACTCCCTTTGCATTGTGGTACCTGCTCTTATTGAAGTATTTACACTCAGGGCCACCAGCCCAACATACCTTATTAATACTGACCCAAAGGGCAAATACACCCCAGCCCAGTCCTCCCTTAGCTTGCAATTATTCCATGTATCAATGTGAAATGGTCCAGTGTAAGATCATATTACATAATTTGTAATAGCCAGCCTGTGTGTACTCAGGAGCAAGATTATGTATTTGGTGTATTACTACCAGAATGTGTGAGCCCCATCCTATCCTAGAGAAGCTAAACTAGGCTATATAGCTTTTCCATATAAATGTTTCAGTTTTGTGTTTTGCTGATTTAAAATTAAAAAAAATTAAAATAAATAATCGGGAGTTACTCCAGAGACTTCTTTTTACAGATGAATCATTAGTGATAAATACACAGCTATATCAACAAAGGCTTAGTAGATAATATTATACACAAAAGGACTGATGACAAAAATCCCTTAGGCCTTATTAATGTATCCCTGAAACTATAAAATGATCTGAGATAATCCAGATCTGTAGACTGAGATGTCCATGGATCATATGGTATATATTTCTTTACATTAGCACAAAAGAGTAAGTAACTGTATAATGTCATACCAAACACCGGGGGGTGATTTACTAACCTAAACACACGCACACACCAGGTGCATGTGATTTTTACACAGAAAAACGTATTTATCAACCAAAAAGTCTCTAAAAGCATATTTCCACTAATGCCATATATGGAAACATCAAGCACATGATGCATATATAATGCTGCTTCACAGTTTAGACAAAAATGGTTAGCTCATGCATTTACATTCCTGCATTCATCAACGCAAGCAACACAATGTAGAGCTAATTTACCACATACCACATTACCTTGCAATTCATGCAGGGCTTTGCACAACACACCTGCTGGGTGTATACACACTACAAAGGTGTCTTGCACTAACTAATTTATATCCCGACAACATCAGTACATCACAATTTACTCAAAAATGGTTCTCATACATTTACATTCCTGCTTTCATCAACACAAGCAACACAATCACATTTCAACGTAAAGCTAATTTACACAACATGACCATGCAATTCATGCAGGGCTTGGCACAACACACCTGCTGGGTGTGCACACATTGCAGAGGTGTATACATTCCACCCATAGATCATGCTGGGAGGGAACACACTGCAGGGGTGTATACATTCCACCCATAGATCATGCTGGGAGGGAACACACTACAGAGGTGTATACTTGTTCGTGGCATGTTTATAAGGTTAGTAAATCAACCCCTTGGTATCAGTCAAACATTAGTGAAAGGTCCACTCTTTCAAAGGAATTTACACACTAGAAACTTGTTTTTATCTTTTTCCAAGATAAGGAAAGGCTTTGAAAACATGTTGCCTTGAGTTTTCGGCAGGAGGAGATGTAACAAGGCCAGGACCCCGAAATCTATGCTGCAGAATTAGTTCACAGCCAATGGCCCTAAGTGGTCCTGTTTGGATTTTTAGCCTTGTGTTGTAAAGGACCTTATCATGGGACGGGCTTATCTTTAAACAGCTTAACCTTGCCCTATTATCTATCCATAGGTGGAAATTGTATGTTCTCCTTGGGTTTAGGAGTCTTCTTCTCACCAGCCAAAGAAACAAATGTTAGTTAAATGGCTTTTGTCAAATTTTGGCATGGAGTGGGCTGTGGGCAATATGGTCTGTAGGATAGAATGACAAAAAAAGGAGAGCGCCCTCTCCATGTGAAGGATCATTTAATAATTTGCTTTTAAAAAATGGTAATGTACTCACAAGAGTCATTCTATAGATGTTAGGGTTCCCTGCCTTGTGGAGCTGCCCCAGTGTGATCAGGTGGAATCAATTAAGGAGGAAGGCGTGCTGTGATTCATTTGCGCTGGGAAGATTTTTGACTTTACATGGTCTGTAGGATAGTCTGAGGCAGAGAGATCTAAATATTTCATGTTTCTCTGTAACAATACCGTGGTGCTCATAGGTTTGCATAATGCTGTCAGAAATTGTAGGATGAGAAGTATTTTTTAAGAAAATATAAGTGATTAGACCATACACATTTTTTTATTATTTATTTCCATTCAACTAAAATATTAGCACAAAAATTAAACAACCCATAACATTAAGGAAATAAAAAATTGGTCCTGTTCAAAAATTTGCATACCCTTATTATTTAATATTTCAATATATACATATCAATATATTACTTTAGCAACAGTGACTTGCTGTCTTTTATGATAGTTGTGAATTATGCCCTTTTTTTCTCGAACCCTTCTTTTTGGAAAAAAGACTCTAGGACCTGAGATTTCTTTGGTTATCTAGTATGAAATAAATGTTTGAGATCTCCTGAAAGTGGCTCAATTATGTGCCTGGGCCAGGAGGTAGTGCTGTTCACTTCAGAACCTTCATTTTGTTCTGTTGCAGCCACTAAAAGGTCATCTTGGCCTTATGTTTCAGATCATTGTCATGTTAGAAGGTCCAAGTGCATCCAATGAGTAACCTGTGTGTATCTTCGAGGAATTACTTCAAAATGCAATCAGCTGTATGTTGAATGGCTTGTTTTAAATATTTTCCTCATCTGTTTAGAACATGAGAATATTGCCAAGTGGCAGCAGGCCCCTTTAACAGGAAGTCTTCACTTCACTGGATCTGCTTGTCCTCTAGATGACCTCCAGCCACTCAATGGGATCCTTCATTTAAGGCCACTGAAGATGCCCCTGTGTGACATTACCAAATGAGGAAGTACTATGCTTCCTTATCAGGATGGCCCTCAGTACTGATATATACTATTTTCCTTTGAGATTTCTGATTGCACACGGGTCAAGTGCATGTGTCAAGAAGGGGAGGGGGGATTTATACTACAGCTTTCCAGCCTTTTTTTTTAGCTCAGCTAAATGTTGGAGGAGATGGGCACTACCAATCACCATTGTGAAATGGTAGGTAGTATTTTGAGCCACCTAAAAACCATTTCTGGCAAGAAAAAAGTTGAGTTATTCTGTGTTGACCTTGCCATATAAAAGGTCTATGGTCCCTAGAATGAACTGTGCCAAAGGTTAATTTCAATGCATGGGAATTTATAATTTTTCTGGGAGTATAGCCACTATTGTCAAAAACAATTAGTTACAGCATAGTTGACACAATATACAGTATGAAAATAACTCTCTGATTAAAATGGAGACAAAAGGACAAAAAGGAGTCGAAGGCCTGAATAGTAAGAATTGGATTTTAATTCTGTTTCAAAACTAAGGTTAGTGGAAGACTGAGAGGGCATTCAGACACAAACAGAGGTTCAAATATTTCCCGCAGAGCAGTCACATTCATAACTTGTTCCATGGACACTCACTTGTTATACTATCTACATGACTAAACGTTTCACTCTCCTGCTTGACAGGTCAACCTCTTGGCTTTTAAAATGTGTCAAGACAACCAAACAAAAGTCACAGAGATCCATCTTCTTGGATTCCAAGGTCTAGACAACTTCAATCTCCTAATATTTTCTATTCTACTTCTAATCTACATTGCAATAGTGTTTGGAAACCTTTTAATTATCCTTCTAGTGTCAACCAATAATAATCTCAAAATTCCGATGTTTATCTTTCTCCAGCACCTAGCTCTCGCTGATGCCCTCCTGGCCACTTGCGTTGTACCAGTGATGGCGGAGTTGATATTAAAGACAAAGTGGAAGATGTCTGTCGCCGGCTGTATCACACAGATGTATTTCTATTTTAACTTTGGGTTTGTGCAGTGTTTCATTCTTGCTGTAATGTCTTATGATCGTTACGTAGCTATTTGTAACCCATTGCATTACATTTTAATTATGGACCGCAGAATCTGCTCCCTGTTGAGTTATGGTTGTTGGGTAGTGACTTGGAGTCTGTGTTCACCTGAATTTATTTTCATAACTCAGTTTCAGTTTTGTGGCCCCAGTGACATTGATCACTTCTTTTGTGATTTTGGCCCAATTGTGGAATTGTCTACATCAGACACATCTATCGTACAATGGCTAGACTTCACATACTCTGTCCTCGTCTTATTCTGTGCTCTTACCTTCATCATTGGGACCTACGGCTACATTTTTGTTATCGTTCTTAAGATTTCATCCTCTACTGCTAGAAGAAAATCCTTTTCAACCTGTAGTGCCCACCTGATCTCCGTGGGTGCGTATTATGGGTCCCTAATCACTATTTATGTGAGTCCATCCAACGAGATGTCGTCTAACGTAAACAAGTACAGTTCTTTGTTGTACACTGTGGTGACCCCATTGATGAATCCTATCATATATAGCCTGAGGAGCCAGGAGATAAAACAAGCTGCGCATAAAAGGTTAAAGACATTTTGTGGCAGGAAGCTAATTTAAATAGTGATGAGTGAACCTTCAGAAGAGGATTAATGAGATGAATTAACAAATCCTCTGTTGATGCAAAACTAACATTCATTTCTCCACATTAAAAATGTATTGGAAAACCCCTCCTTCCTCCTAAGAGCTTTGGCTCCCCACTCACCACTGATGTAAAAGAAATGCACTAAAGATGTTTTTTAAATTGTATCCTCGCACAGGAGGGGTCATCTGAAGCACACATCATACAGTGGAAACACTTCCAGCTCTAGTTCTTCATCTCTCCCCTCCTACGGTCCCCCATAAGTGTAAAGCTCACTTGGTTTTATCAGGTGATCATATCTTCATGCTTGATTGCAACACTTCCACCCTGAAGAAGCCACTATATTGAAACACATTGGGATATAAACCATTATGGCACCATCTACTTTTTGAAGCATCAAGTGGCTGGAATCACCATTGTGACAAGGGACAAAGGAGAATTATTATTTGCACTTCTATTATACAGAGACGGTATGGTTTATAGGAGGCTGTCTATTAGAGATGTTCAGATACCAAGTACAGTACTCGGTACAAGTAGAAGTACAGATACTGTTCCAGCTCCAAGACTAGACTAGAGAAAAATGCAAAAGTTAGGAGGCCGCTGTCATTTGTAAGGATCATACGGAGCTCCCGGGATTTGTTCATCTCTGTTTTAATGTGATTTTGTTTTTTATAAATATATATATATATCTCCATGTCAAGCATCATACTCTAAGCCTAAACAGGTTTTTGGTTTGCTTTTTTCCTACACCTGAATTTCCTGGGGAATTTACTTTTAAGTGCCATTTCAAATGTACATAACAAATTCACACAGGACTGCATTAGCAAGTTTAACCAGTTGACATCCGCGGTGTTAAACCCCCTTCCCATCCAGGCCACTTTTAAGTATTCAGCGTTGCGGTACAGATTTTGGGTTTTTTTTTTTTACTTTTTTTTGGGACTTTTATTTTTTATTTTAGTTTTTTATTTATAAATATATATTTTTTTGCACTTATTGTTATTGCTATTATATAGGGGGATAACAATTCCCCTATATACAGTAATAGCAAAGGCACATTGACAGGTCCTCTTTATGGAGACATTAGGGGTCCCTAGGACCCCTAATGTCACCTGTGGACCCCCAAAGAAGCTGATGAAGCCTCATTTAAGGTAAGTGCTGACATTAACATTGGGGGGAGGAAAAAAATT